AATTGTGTTCTTCATTTCCTCTTGTCTCTTGCTGATAGTTTCCATTTCCTTTTTGATGTTGCTGTAGTTTGCAGAGAGATCATTATAGTTCCCCTGTAGTTTCTGGTAGTTCACTGTGAGCTCTTTGAACTTCGTAATAACCAGTGCTTTGAATTCACTGTCTGATAGTTGATCAGCGTCTATTTCATCTAACATTCTTTCTGAAGTTTCTGCTTTTTCTTTCATTTGGGGATTGTTTCTTTGTCTTCCCATTGTTTGAGACTCTTCTTGTTAGTCTCTGCTTCCAAAATTGATCTGTTCTGAAACACTGGTTTTATGGTGTAAACTTCTGTGGTATGATCCTTGTGAAGTTCAGTGGTGCAGACTCCTTGAAGTTTCTTGATGTTCTTAGTCTCCTCCTGCACTCACGCTGGTCCTCGTGCTGGTCCCTGCGTTGGTCCCCTACCACTGCTGAATGTCCTGGCTCTAGTAGCCGCCTCCTCAAGCACCCAGGCCCGTTACTACGGCAGTGGCACAGAGGCTGGGAATGTCCCGGCTCCCGTATCTGGCTCTCTCTGCCGCCCAGGGCCGTCACAGGGGCTTGGAGTGTCCCGGTTTCCGTACCTGACTCCCCGGCGTCTAGTCCTGTCTCTGTGGCAGTGGCACAGAGGCTTAGAAAGTCCCAACTCCCGTACCTGATTCCCCAGTGTCCAGTCCCTTCGCTATGGCAGCAGAACAGGGGCTGAAACAGTCCCAGTTCCCGTAGAGGGATCCTCTGCCACCCTGGGCTGTCTCAGGGGTTTGGAGTGTCCAGGCTTCCGTACCTGACTCCCCGGCGTCCAGTCCTGTCGCTATGGCAGCGGCACAGGATTTGAGAGCTTCCCGGCTCCCGTAGCTGGCTCCTCTGCTGCGTCACAGGGGTTTGGAGAGTCCCGGCTTCCGTACCTGACTCCCTGGCGTCCAGTCCCGTTGCTATGGCAGTGCGCGAACGTCCCGGCTCCCGTAGCTGGCTCCTCAGGGTCCAGGCCTGTCTCTATGGCGGCGTCACAGGGGCCTTTGGTGTCCCAGCTCCTGCAACTGACCCTTCCGTTGCCCAGGCCGGTAGCTATGGCATCGGCACAAGGGTGTCCCCGCTCCGGTTCCTGACTCCTCTGTCTCCCAGGACCGTCACAGGGGCTTGGAGTGTCCGGCTTCCGTACCTGACTCCCCGGCTCCCAGGCGTGTTGCTCTGGCGGCAGCACAGGGGCCGTGTGAGACCCAGCTCCAGTAGCTGACTCTGCCGCCGTCTGGTGTTTCAGTGTCGGTCACAATCTCTGGTCTTTTAATTTCATAAATGCTGGGTAACTGATGGTTTATTGTGCTGTTTCTCTGTAGATCTGCCAGGATTTTCACCCATGAGTACAGGAGCTAGTATCAGCTCCATCTTACTCCGTCGCCATCTTCCCAGCATCCCCTTTATTTCTTTTCTTGCCTATTGCTCTGGCTAGGACTTCTAATACTGTGTTGAATAAAAGTGGCCCTTGTGTTGTTCCTGATTTTAGAGGAAAAGCTTTCAGCTTCTCAGCATTGAGTATGATACTGTTGTGGGCTTGTCCTGTGTGGCCTTTATTATGTTGAGATATGTTCCCTCTATACCAATTTTGTATAGAGTTTTTGTCATAAATGGATGTTGAATCTTGTCGAATGCTTTTGCTGCATCTATTGAGTTATTTTTATCCTTCATTTTGTTAATGTGATGTATCACATTGATTAACTTGAACCATCCTTGCATCCCTGACCTTTCCACCTTCTGCATCCCCTGTTTTAACCTGCCAGATAAACTTGTGCACCCATTTGGTCAAATCAGAAACTGAGTAATCCTAGATGCTTTCCTCCTCTCCATCAAGTCATTCACTCCTCTGCCTTCAGCATCTTTCTCAAACCTGTTCCTTTCTTTTTGTCCTCCTGGACATTACCTAGGTTTAGGCACTCATCATTTCCTACCATGATTGGTGGCAGAATCTCCTAATGTGGTTGGCTACAGAAAGATCTGAAACCATAGCTGATGCGTTACTCCCCTGCTGAAAACCTTCTCTTGGCTCTCCAAGGTGGTGTGCTCCCTGCTTCCTCTCCAGGCCCATCTGCCCTGGGGCTCTCTGCACCTGTCGTCCCCCCAACAGTTCCTGCTCTTCCCCACCTCTTCCCTGGATGCACTCCTTCCTCCTGCTCTATCCATTGACAGCTCTGGGAAGCCACCTGTGCCTCCTCCCTTTCCCCCCGATCTGTTTTAGGTGTTCCCCTTTTGGCCTCTAGTATGTTGCTTAGAGACCAGGGTGGTAGAGAACGGCTGTGTATGTGTTTGAATTCCAGCTCTGCTATTTGATACCTTTCTGAACTGAGACACTATTCTCCAGGCCTATTTCTATGTGGGTCAGGTGGAATAGACAGCGCTCCTTTGTAGAGTTTAGGGTAGGGGTGTCATACTCATTTTCACTGGGGGCCACATCAGCCTCATGATTGCCTTCAAAGAGCTGAAATAATTTGAGGACTGTATAGCTGTAACTATTCCTTAACTGTTAAGGAGTTCAAATTACATTTGGCCTTTTGAAGGTACCCTCAAGGCTGATGTGGCCCCTGGTGAAAATGTTCGACATCCTGGTTTACGGAATATAGTTTTCATCCCAGCTCCTCATGTTACTGAATTATCCATCAGGAGTCAGCTCATCTCCCCTGGACCACTCCCTTCACTGGCCAATCACCCCCAGAGCTCTCCTTGAGGTTATGTTTTAGCAGTAACAGCTAACATTTATTGAGTGCCTAATTTGTGCCATATATTTTCCCAAGTATTTTGCACACATTAACCCCTCTAACTCTCACAGCTACCATTTTCCAGAAGTGCAGACAGGCTGAGATAAAGGTACTTGCTCTTGCTCCCACCGCTGGTGAATGGCTGAAGGAGGGCCCTGAAACCAGAGTCTGGTCTAAGAACTCACACTATCATCCTGTTTATTTCTTCATAGCAACCTTAAACATTTGTTGCCTGATGGTTAGTTAACATGTAAGGTAACATGTAAAATGTCCAGCCTAGTGCCCGGCATGGAAGAATGCAGAAACTGTTGAATGAGTGGCTCTTATTCCCTGACAGCCTGGAGGATCTAAGGGCCCTCAAAGGGAAGCGTTTTCTTCTGGATCCCTTGTTGCCTGAGCTGCTTGTGTTCCCTGCCCAAACAGACCTGCATGACCATCCACTGTACCAAGCTGGTCACCTCATCTTACAAGACAAGGTAGGGAAGGTGGGTGGAAAAGGGAAGGATGGGTGGGAGTGACCAGCTTGGGGAGTTTGTGTTCACCCAGCCACTGTGCTCTGCCTTGCCAGGCTAGCTGTCTCCCAGCCATGCTGCTGGCTCCACCCCCGGGCTCCCATGTCATTGATGCCTGTGCTGCTCCAGGCAATAAGACCAGTCACTTGGCTGCTCTTCTGAAGAACCAAGGGTGAGTGCCACGGTTAGACAGAGGAGGGTGTGGGGTCTGATCCTGTAGCTGGTGAAAAGTAAGGGACTTGTTTTTCTGATGGGTCTCAAGGCCCAAAGGAAGACTTTTATTTAGTATTTCTTTCTGGACCTGGGACAGTTCCCATATAGCTCCAAGCTAAGCTTCCTAGTGGGTTGCAGGTGTGAGATGTGAATTCCTTAGTCCTCAAAGGCTGTTTAAGTATTACCTTCCGTATGTCCTCACTTCATATATATGTTTGTATGTCAGACCTGTGGTCTATTAGATACATATGAAGTCAGTTAATCTCAACTCTGTCCCTAGGAAGATCTTTGCCTTCGACCTGGATGCCAAGCGGTTGGCATCTATGGCTACTCTGCTGGCCCGGGCTGGAGTCTCTTGCTGCCAGCTAGCCGAGGAGGACTTCCTGACAGTCTCACCCTCAGACCAGCGTTATCGTCAGGTCCAGTACATTTTGCTGGATCCTTCTTGTAGCGGCTCTGGTGAGATGGGGAGAAATAGCGGCCTAGGGCAGCCGTAGATTCGGAGCGGCCTTAGAGCAAAATGGGTAGTTCATTTGGGTCTTGGGTTTAGTTCTGACTCAAATCGTCTTGTGATCGTAGGCAAATGTTTTAATTTATAAAGTGGGAATTTCAGCCTAAAATAAAACAATTTGTAATTAAACCACTCTTTTCCCTAGGTATGTTGACCAGACAGCTGGAGGAACCTGGGACAGGCACACCCAGTAAAGAACGCTTACGCGCCCTGGCAGCATTCCAGCAGCGAGCTTTGCGCCATGCGCTCACTTTCCCCTCCCTGCAGCGCTTGGTCTACTCCACGTGTTCTGTTTGTCAAGAGGAGAATGAAGATGTGGTATGGGATGCCCTGCAGCAGAGCTCAGGAACCTTCAGGTAGTAGGTTTCCACCAGGGTCTTGGGGTGGGGATGACTTTCTTTACATAGAAGTCTGCTATTTCTTCTCCACAGGCTCACTCCTGTCCTGCCCTCCTGGCCCCACCGAGGCCTTAACACTTTTCCAGGGGCTGAACACTGCCTCCGGGCCTCTCCTGAGACCACGCTCACTGGTGGCTTCTTCATTGCTGTACTTGAACGGGTAGAGGTGTCAAGGTGAGCAGGGAGCTCGCTGGGAAGATGCTGGAAGATTGGGACACATCTAACATGTACTTTTCTTCTAGCTCAGTCTCACAGGCTGAAGTATCGGCACCAGAACTCAGACCCAGCTCTGTTACAAAGAGAAAGAAGAGGCGGCGAAAAGCGGCAGCTGCCCCTAGCATGCTCCCCTAGCAGGTGCTCAAAGATTTTGGCCTCTTGGGTGGGAGGAAAGGAAGACATTGGTTCCCCCTCAGCCCCAGGCAGCAGTTTTGTTTTTGAAAGGTTTTGTTTTTTGTTGCTATAGGACAGACACTGATAATCCTGCTTCCCCAGCTGGAATGATAGAGTGGATCTCCTCATCCTTTTGAGTCCCTTCCCTGGGCCACATTCTTGCTGGTGAGAGAAGTGCGACCCACAAAAATAAAAAGGCAGGACATGGTCTACGATAGATCACAGTATTTTATTCTTAATGACATAAGCAAGGGGGAAAACCTCACATTCATACTAAAAATTCCAACTAGACTCACAGGAATTAAGTCTGTATCTGTAATGGAAAGTCCCAGTGCACATATGTGTACACATACACACTCACACTCACACTCAGGCTGTGCCAGGGCGCCCTCTTCAGGGGCTTCCTGGACCAATGGCCCTGCCTGTGGAACTGAGGTAAACTAGCTTAGAGCACTAAAACTAAGAGGGTCTACCTTACGTGAGGTGTAGGTAGAAGCTTGATTTCTAGGCCCGTGCCCCACACCCCACCCTTCCAATTCTAGGAGGTGTTTGGGACTGGAGGTTCAGGCCCCCTCCTCAGCTCCACGGACAGTTAAGTAGCGACAGAGCTACTTAAGTAGTTCTTGGGGTGGGAGCAACAGCCAGTCCCCTGCCACAGAACATTCAAAACTCAGTCACAAAAGGGGGAGGGGACTGGGTACATCTAAGTCACATTATTTATAAAATAAGAATTACATTTTACATAATGTGTCCAGAAAGAGCTCTAGTCCCTCAGGAAAGCTGCCTGGGATGGCACTGGAGCCTCTTCTTCACACAGGCATAACTTAACTATACAGCTAATTCCTAGTCAACAGCATTTATACTTAACCACCTCAATGAACCAAGCTTGAAGGAATTTAAAAGGCAATTTAGCTTAAATACAAAAATAAATTTTTATTTCGTTAAAAAATGTTTAAATATTTTTTCTTTTAATTTAGACACACACATTCATACTTCTCCCAAAGAGGATGGGCACGGCAGCGAGGCTCTTAGGCCTGGGGTATGTGATTTGGAAACAAAGGAAGAACAGAAGGGTTGGAGGCTTGGGGGAGGGGGGTTGGCTAAGAATTTAGAGTGTGGTTCATTAATTTAGGATTTTCTAACATACACTAGGGGTGAGCTAACCTCCCGTGAGGTCAGGTGGGGAGGAGAGAGAAACAGCAGAGGGAAGAGGTCTTTGCTTCCCCTTGGCCCTATCCTCCTGGGCTGCCAGCCCATAGTCAAAACACCATTTGAAAATCCAGGAGTTGGCACTTATAGCCGTAAAGTGGTGCTACTTTCCACATTCAATTAGCTAAGTCCCAGAAACTTGAAACAGTTAAGTCCGGCACTACCAACATGCCGCCACTCATACAATTCAATTCTTCCTCCAAACTCGATTCAAAGAGCAATAGACATGAGCATCAGACAAAGTAACACAGGACAAGGTTTTTAAACATACAATCCCGGAGAGGCCGACGTGCCCAATGAGGCCAGCGGGGGTGGTGCACAAGGAGGCAGCTGAAAGCAGCGGTGGGCATCCTGCCTGCTCCAAGAGATTCCCTCCCTGGAGTGAGGGATCACCCCTGGATCTGCCAGGCTAACAGTCTTGAGCCACCAAGCTTTTAGGGGCCAAACTGGCAGGGCTGGGGACAAAACACTGACTCAGACTTGGCAGGAGGAAGTGAAACAGCAGGAGCAGCATCCACTGGAGTCTTCAAGGCAAAGCTTGATTCAAGATCATTTAAAAAGCAAGAGATCCTGCAAGGAACCAGTCAAAGGACAAAGCAGCAAGAAATGGGGAAACAGTCCCCTAAAGGGATCAGAGAACCACTTTTTATAGCTAAGCCAAGCAAGGTAAAGCTTTAGGGATGATCCATTTCCCCCAATCCCATCAAATGCACACCAGAGAGGCAGGTGGTCAGGGCTCTACCTGGCACTCTCCAGCAAAGATGGCTCTGTGGGGAAAAAGCGGAAGGGAGGCCACCTGACTAAGCTCATACACTAAACAAGTCAGGGAAGTTAAGTGAACAGTATGTACAGATGTTTCTTCAGTTCTCTCTAGCCTCAACAGTGGAATTGTTCAAGTAAAGGTATCAGGCTTCTGCCCTGCCACTCCCTCCCCCAAGAGGCCTGAGGCTTCTGCTTCCTCTAAGAGGGAAATGGCCCCCAGGGCTGCTACTACCTCTTGTAGCTGAAGCCAGAGGTCTGGGGTAGGTTTGCTTTATGGAACTATGGGTTAGAGGCTCTTCCCTAGCAAGGTGCCAAGGTCCACATTGGGGCAAGGGGTGGGGGGAATGGAGGCAAGGGACAGAGTCTATTTCTTTCGGGTGTGTTGCCTTCGGGCCTGCAGTCGCTGTCGAGCCCCTGGGGTCTTGGATCCTGCACCAATGGAAAATGAAGGGGCCGCCGATCCTGGAAAAATTCAACAAAATCTGATCAGTGCAGCTGCTACCTGAGAACAGTTCTTTGGGTGCCCTAATCTCTGGAAGGTTAGGCCAACAGAACTCATAGGGCTTCCCAAGCTGTGTCAATTGCTTTGGGGGAGGGGCCTATTGAAAATGCAAAACCGCAGAATCACAGATAGTCTGTGAGAGGCCCAGAAAGGCATTTTTATTATTTTTTTAAATTTTTTTATTTTTAGAGGGGAAGGGAAGGAGAAAGGCAGAGAAATATCAATGTGTGTTTGCCTCTCACATGGCCCCCACTGGGGACGGGGCCCACAACCCAGGCATATGCCCTGACTGGGAATCAAACCGTGACCCTCTGGTTCGCAGCCTGTGCTCAATCCACTGAGCTACACCAGCCAGGGCCCCAGAAAGGCATTTTTAGCTGGCTTTCCAGTGATTAGGGACATTCTGCCCCTAAAGGCTCCTCTGCTCCCTGCTGCCAACTCCAAACCTGGGTTGTGCTAGACTGACTGACATTTTTCTGGTGCTGATGAGCCTGATGTTCCCCAGAAGGCCCCAGAGAACCAGAAACCTGCCAGCCCAGCCCAGCCCAGCCCCTCTCCAGAGAGGAATAAGCTAGGCCACTCTGGCAACAAAGAACTTGCCAAGCTTACCGAAAGGTCCAACTCCAACAAAGCCTTGGGTGGGTGTTGAGGATGCCCCAAAGGAGAGGCTGCTGCCTGATGCGCCCACTCCAGGGGCAGGGGCATTCTGACCGAAGGTGGGCGTGGAGGTGCCTAGAATGAAGAGAGCAGAGAACTGCAGAGACTAGGCCAGTGAGCAGAGGGCATCAAAGTAGATGGTAATGAACGCTGCAGGAAGATCTGCTCTCTGAAGGGGCACTCCCCATGGGACACCTCAGCCCTGAACCACTGTTCTGGTTCATCCACCAAAAGGAATTGCACAGGATAATTAAGTCTGAACACTTGGTGCTTCAGGTGGGCCCGCCTGTCTCCTGGCCTCCTAACCACTGTCCTGCAGCAGAGTCCCTCAGGGTTACCTTCCGGCCACTAATTAGCAGAGCCTCTGCCCTCACTGAAGCATAGCAGAGGGGACACTCAGTGGACTCCTATCTATTTTCTAGCTTGATTAATCTACCAGGATCAGTCACAATAGGCCTCTTCTGTTTATCTGTTCCCTCCTCTCCAGAAACCCGAGTCTTCCACCAAATTCACCACCACTCCAATCCACCCTCTAGGTCCCCTAACCTGCCCATGGGGCTCCACTGGAACTCAGTCATCAACAAACTCCCTTGCCATCACTGAATCCTGATGCTCAATACGGATGGTGGTGCTTTCTCTACAGCCCCTCACAGGAGGCTGCATTCTCTCTTATGTGCACTTGTGCAGCCTGATGTGGTACAGGTACCACCCCAATCTACTCCTCCACCCAGCAGCCTCCACCACACACTTCTATGGTCATACCTTGTCACCACTAAGACCTGCTCTAGCCCCCAAACCTTAACTTCAACTACTGCATTCTATCTTCCAGCTGTTTTTAGTAATTCTGCACTTCCTTAATCTCCACAAGATCTCCATGCCCACTGCCCTTCCTGCTACACTCGCTTGAGTTTAAACAGGTTGGGTTCTATAAGCTATCCACTTATTTAAGGTCTACACCTCAATGACTGAATGTTGCTGGAGAAAAACAACAGTGCTAACTGGTCTCACTTTTAAGTTCATAACCACAATTTTCCGACCCTCAAAATTGCCTGGCAGTTTTATTACACTTCATTAGTTCCTTTTCCATGCCTCAAAATAACTATTTAAAGAGACCCTCCTTTGTACACACTTCACCCTACTCCACTCCCAAAGAGCTCTCATATTTAATGAAGAAAATAGAAGCTCTCCGGATCAAAACTCCTAATTCGTCTTTTACACAGGAAAGTAAGATCACTTCAATCTTCTGCTTGAAATTCTACAGTGATTTCCCTTAGTACTTGAAATCCAAACATTTAATCCTGGCCATGAATGATCTTCAACTCTGCCTGCCTCTCAGCCTCTTTTTATACCATTTACATTTTTAAACTTCTAGCCACACCTTGCTTCTGTTCCCACCAGCGTGTCCCTGCCCGTAGGCCTTGGCATTAGCTGTCTCCTGTGCCTCTAAGGCTGTCACACACGCACCTACACACCAGTGATCACAACCCCTTTTTTGGTTACAAATAGTCGTCTTAAATTTATTTCCTCATGCCTTCCTTGATTACCTAAATAGCTCCTCCACAGTCAATAGTACATTTTATTTTATCAAGACATTTATCACTACCTGACATTGTACTTACGTATTTAACTTTTCACAACAACGTAAAACTCCCTCAGAGTGGAAACTACACTGGCACTTAAAACAGTGCCTGACACAGCCAACCAGATCGATTCCTAGTCTCACCTCCAAACACAGGCTTGCTCTCAGGTGTACCAGCTGTGTTGAAGGCGAAGGGTGTGCTCTGGCTGGGTGCACCCAGTGTGTTCTGACTCAAGCCCCCCCCAAAGGGGGCCGTGCTGCCAGTGGTCCCACTCTGTCCTCCTCCGAAGCTGAATGCTCCAGAGGTAGAGCTGGTGCCCGGGGTAGCCACGTTGATCCCAAAACCCCCGCTGCCAGCCGGGGATGCCAAGCTCCCAAATGTGAAGGGTGATGGTGTTGTGCTGCCAAACATTGAGCTACTGGTCCCACTGCTGGTGGTCTGGGTTGTAGCTCCAAAGCCAGAACTGGTAGCTGCGCCGAAGGAGAAAACAGGTGTGGTGCTGCCAAAGGCCGGCTGGGTGCTGGCAGGGGCGCCAAACACAGAGGCCGCAGGCTTCAAACCACCAAAAGCAGATTGCGCAGTGTTACCAAAGGCTGTGTGGGTTGGAGTTGGTGCTAGAGTTGCAGCTGGGGCTGGTGCTGCAGAGCTTCCAAAAGTGAAAGAGTTGCCAAAGCTGGGGGCGAGGGGCGGTTTGCTGGACCCCTGCTGCTGAGAATCAGCGGCCCCAAATGCAGGCTGGGGGTTGGCTCCTGGATACGATGGGAGAGGGGCCCTGGAGCTTGAGCTGAAGGGAATGTTGAATGCTGGGGTGGTAGTGTTACTGAATGTCAGGGTAGGCTGGCTGGTGGTTGTAACTGGGGCTGAGGTGGTAAGGGTGTTGCCAAAAGCACTAAAACTGGTGGTGCTGCTGCTGGCAACTGTCTGCACAACACTGGACAGGGACTGGCTAAAGGATGTCGTTGTGGCGGCGGTGGTTGTCGTTGTTGCTGAAGTAGGCATGGCAGGAAGCTTGCTAAACTGGAATATGGAGCCTGTGGCTGGGGTAAAGCTGGCACCAGAGGCAGGGGGATTCCCAAAGAGGAAAGGCTGGGAGGTGGAAGGGGTAGTGCTAGTCACGCTGCTCATGGCGCTGGTCACATCACTCACACCAAAGCCAAAGGCAGGCTTCGAGGCTGAGTCTGCAGAGGTGCTGGCAGTGGTCACGCCAGCCACTGCTGAGGTGGTACTCGCCTGGCCAGTGAAGTGAGGAGCGCTTGTGGTTGTGGCTGGACTAGCAGTTTGACTGAAGGAGAAGGGAGCTGACAAGGGTACAGATATCGGTGGCCCCAGGCTGCCAAAAATAGGCTTGAAAGAGACAGGTGAGGTGCTGGTGGATGTGGAAAGGGCAGAGCTGGAAGATGCTGCAGTTGTGACCTTGGAAGAGCTAGATGGCAAGGGGCCCTCATTCTCACTTTTAGGCGGGACTGCAAAAATGGGCTTGAACATGGGAGATGCTGAAGACACAGCAGGAGCTGCAGAGGCAGGAAGGTCAGCAGGTGGGGTGCTCAGCATTCCAAATAGAATACTTTGCTTGGGGGTTGGGGATGGGGCAGATGGGGCTTGAGATGGGGCAGATATCTCAGTTTGAGGGGACAGAGGTGACTTGGTGGTGTCAGTGACTGGTACTGTGGAAGAAGTAGGGGTCAGCCCTAAGAAAGTAACTGTCATTTTGGAGTCTGAGGTGGCGCCTGAAAAGGGTGCTGACTGTGAAGTGCCAAGAGGGCCCAGAAGGCTGGGTGTCTTCGGAGGCGAATGGGCCACAGTGGCTGCCACTCCAGCTGAATCATCTGAGAAGAAGAGTAGAGAAAGTGAATTCTGAGTACCTCAGACGCGATATATTCAATGCTCTTGTCTCCTCCCTGTGTCCAGCACAATGCTGGGGATTTAGGACTCAGTCAACAAATATGACTAAATCTATACCTTTAGCCCTTAACGTATTCATTCCCTAAAATCAAGGAAGCGTTCATTATTTCTACCCTTCACAGATCATAAGGAAAATAGAAGGGAATAAAACTTGGCCTCACTGGGGTTAAACATGTGAAAACTAAGGAAAATCCAATCACCTGAAATCGAGTCCAGATACACCTTACCTAGAAGAGGCGGCCTGCATTAGCCTGCCACGTGCTAGCTGCAGAGCGTATCGCCATGAATGAGACGGTCTCTGCCCCTGAGCCCTGGGACAGGCAGAGAGCAACACATCCTACTACACGATAAAGTGCAATGGCAGGAGTGCGTACCCATGCCGTGCCATGAAGGCAAGGGGCCGGAACAATCGACAGACCCATGGAAACCCAGAGGGAAAGTAAGTAATACTATCCTGTGCCTCTTGTCTGATGAGCGTGTGACAAGACCGCTGAACCACGTAGCACATTTACGCTTCAGCAATACCTGAGGTAGGCATTATTCTTAATTTATAGATGACAGCGAGGTGTGGAACAGCTACGGAACTGGGTTTCAAATCAAGAGACATTTCGCTATCAAAACTAAGCTTCTCTTTCCAGCTTTACATGTTCTGGCTCCCCCTCCCTAAAATTTCCTGATTACCGAATCCTAAAGGTCCTAAGCTTGTACCAGCTCGGTCTGGTCAGCCAGAGTAGGTTCAGTCCTTACAATTCCTAGTGACTGACAGGCATGATGTTCTTACCTCACCCTCCACAAGGGTTGGTGTCATTGTATGCTCTAAGGGGAGCTCTCCCACTCACCTGAGAAGGATGGTAGGCCTGGGGAATTCTGCATCTTCTTCAAACTCTCCAACAGTGGGTCGGTGCTTGAGGCCGGGAGAGAAGATGGGGAGGGAGCAGCCCCAGTGGTAGGCAGAGTTAAAGTGAAAGAAGGCTGAGTGGTAGGCGGGTTCTCAGTGACAGAGCTTGAGGCAGCATCTAAGGAAGGAAGAACAAGAAGATTCAATTGTCCTCCCCGGTTTGGGAATTCTTTCCAGTGGTGTTATCATGGAGAATGGGGAGGCTCTGAGTCTCAGAACAACTCATTTAGAAATGCTTTCCCTCAACCTCAGCGCGCACTGTACTCCAGCTTCTACTGAGAACCCAGTGGATTTCTCAGATGAGAAAAACCAAAACAAATCTTCTCTGGAGTGTGAGAGATCTTTACTCCTTACCAGTCTTATCTTCCAAGACCTTGTTAAACCACCGTAATGAAGCTTTCTTTTCCAAGTCTAGGTCCTCAGCAGTAATTGCATAACCAAGCTGGGGAGGTGGAGGCTACCCAAGAGAAAAAGGAGGAGTCAAGTCAATCAAAAGCAGCTGGAAAACTTATATTTAGCCTTAAGACTCAGAAGAGCAAGCTGGGGTGGGTAAAGGCAGACAATCGAGACCATACCAAGGTCAGCTGGTCCCCTCGTTTGGAGGGCAGCAGCTGAACCTTCCGTCTGCGCTGCCCAGAGCTGCCAGGCGTAGACGGGGAATTCTGCAAGTTCTGTTTCTTCCATGCGGTTGTATCTGTAACTAAAGAAACAAATACAGTCTTAAAAAAAAAAAAAATTTATTTATTTTTAGAGCCAGGGGAAGGGAGGAGATATTTATGTCGCCTTTCTCCCTTACTGGACTATATAGAAACCTGAGACAGGAACTTCTGTTCCTCTCTATACCAGGCCCTCTACACAGCAACGCTGAAAGTGTGTTTGGAATGGGTAGTAGGCGATACATCCTTCATAAACACTTCTACCACCACAAGCCACTCTTACATGTTTATCAACTTACCCTTTTCTCCCTGGGACTCCTTGTCAGTTACTAATGGAGTTGAAGAACTAGAATGATGAGAAAGTTCTTCTTCTCTGTAGGAGAAAAACACAGTATTAAGTTTAGAAAGACTTCCTGACAATAAATACTGAATAACTTATACCCTCCTAACTATGGAATGGCCAAAGTCTAGAACAACTGTGACGTGACAGCTCAGTATGCCAGGAGAAAAACAGTTACAAGAAAATTCTCTCAGAAACAAAGGGAGGCAGTTAATGGAAACCACAGAGAAGCCACTGTCTTAAAAACAAGCACAAAACAATTACTCATCTTCAAAATCTTCCTTATAACCTGCCACATTACTGAGAGTTCTAGTCACAGATCTAATCCCTAGAGAGTGGCATTCTGGTCGACTGTAGGTAGACTTAGAGGGTTAGCTGGAGTCAAGAACATGAGTCTACTGCCCACTGACATTATTCACTCTGTTCACTCTATTCTATTCTCACACCTGGTCACTCATGCAGAAGAGAACCAGAGGCCCTTACAGTCAGTGTGTAAAGAACTGTAAAAAGAGCAATTCCAGTGGGTACTTCACTGTCATTCTAGATGTTAATTTGTTTGATTCTCCAAATAAGAGTTACAGAAAGCCTAAAAACCAAGTAAATTTCTCTCCTTCCCTGACCAGTAATCCGCACAGCAAATACGGATTACCTTATTTTCTTTGCTGGCCTCTCTGGTGTCTGGGAGCGGGACGAGGCTGGGCTGGAAAAGGGTGATGAACTGGGGCCACTTCTCTTCCACAGCTGAAAGTCAAACAAAAGTTACATGACTGATGTTAGCTGGTAGTTCAGCATTTGACCTTCAATATAATTTTGTGGTTCTATTTGTTCTGTATATAAAGTCTCCTTGTAAGCGACTAAAAAATATTTCTTTGTGAAGAAAGGCTCTTGACACATAAGTCAATTTCCAATATTAACGAGATAAAAAAAATCTGAAAACAAATGGAATGCTAATAAATGCAGAAGGAATGAACATACTTTTTGCATATATTAAAAAGTGGAACATTACATTCAATAACGCTTCACAGCTATAACATGTACGTTTACTCTGTATTGTCTATGGAAATGATCAAAGTAAATTAAGAAACTGTCCCAGTGAATACAAGTCCATAAACTAGTCTTGTTTTCATTGAATTTTCAGTTTTTCTTTATTAACTTTATTTTTAAAAATATGCTATCATAACATTTATAACTTTTATAACACCTATGGTACTTATCGTTATATGCTAATTATCTTCTACCAGAAAGTAGTCCCTTGACAGTAGAGATGGTCTGTTTTCATCTCTGCCTCCTTCAAAGGGGCCTAGCAGCGAAGTAACTGACAAACAGCAAGCACTCTAAAAAGAAGTCTTTAGCCTAATTACAAAGATACTAATTATCACATTTTTCCTGAGAAGCTTCCAGTGATTTCTTACTCTGTAACAGTCGCATGATATAAGCATACAAAAGGGAATAGTGCTTAGTAAAAGTTCAAAGGAAGAAGAGGTTTTAAAAATCAAAGAGAGGTGGTAAAAGAGTACAACAGTTCTGTAAGAGGAATGTGATGACTATCAGGGAACCCAAGGCTCAGAATGAGCTGGAGAAAGATACTGAAACCAGTATTTTCTTCAATGTTACTCTCAGGTAAAGAATAAGAAAGGACAACAGTCAATCATTTAAAAAGAGAAAACCCTGGACCTCTTACACCTTGTGCTTTTAACAAAGTGCCAAAGGCAATTCTAATGTTTTGTCAGGGTTGAAGACAACTTGGTTCAACACTTAGGGGGAAAAAAATGCTGTATCTCTACTTCACAAACTGTACATAAACACATAATCCAGATGTAGTAATAATTTACATGTAAAAAGTGTAACAAATAATACTAGAAAAAAATAAATGAGTTGTTCAATAACATGGGGTAGGAAAAAACTTTTTATGCCAAAAACAAAAGAAAACTGACAGAGTGTTACATAAATACTAAGAACCTCTTTACATAAAAATATTGCCATGTGGGAGGGAGACTTTACTATACATACACCTTTTGTACCATTTGTATTTTCAGCAATACTCATGTTTCCATAAAATAGAAATACAATCTATATGGGTAGGAAACAAACAAAAAAACCCAAACAAAGCAAAAGTAAACTATAGGTAAAGTTAAAAGGCAAATGTTTTCGATTACAGTGATGAGTTAATATCTTTAACATGTCAAAATGGAAGACTTGCAATTCCATATAAATATAGTGAACACATAAAATAAAAGTGGGTAAAAGATATAACAAGGCAAGTCAGAAAAAGAATTAGTTGATCTTGAAACTCAATTTTTATTTATTAAGTTCCTATGTCATAAAGGTACTATAATTTTATACTTTACAAAGAATGCAAAGATAATCGAGACCACACCCATCAAAATATTTACGATGTGGAAAAGAGGACAGTACGTAAATTAACTCTGAAGAGGTCTGTAAAAAATGATTCCAAGAAGAAAGAGATTATGCTGAGTTTGGTTACAAGAATCAGTAAAGAAAAAAGGTGACATTCACGACAAGCCATAATTTCATACAAAAATACTTATTCCAGAAGGAGAACAGAACAAGGAAAAGGAAGGAGGCAGGAAAATATTGGGTGCTCTTAGAAGAGAATAAATGTTCTGCCTTGGCTTAAATATAGGGTATAAGTAAAGAAATCATAAGGCACAGGGTCAGAAATGCATGCTGGGGGATGAAATTTTGAAGGCTAGAGTAAATATGACTATAAAAAATGACAAGTCTTGTAAGACACATGAAAGTATCAATGCCACCCACAAAGCAGAACAGTTCATTTTCTTTTTTTTTTAAAGTACCCATATATATTTTTTAAAGATTTCATTTTATTTTTTTAGAGAGGGGAAGGGAGAAAGAGAGGGAAGAGAAATATCAATGTGTGGTTGCCTCTCATACACCCCCTACTGGGGACCTGGCCCACAACCCAGGCATGTGCCCTGACTGGGAATCAAACCAGCAACCCTTTGGTTCGCAGGCCAGCACTCAACCACTGAACCATACCAGCCAGGACAGAACAGTTCTAAATGACTTATAGATTTGGGTATTTACTAGCGTTCCTCCGGAAAAATACAATTAAGTCAAATATCTGTACTACCACTGGCACCAAATCTGTATTGATTACTGGGGATATTTACTACTTCAGTACACATTTTTTTCAAAGAGCAGCTTCAACAGTAAGAACTTTCATATTACCTTAATTACTTTAATCTCTCCTTTCTAAGATCTACTTCTGAGAACTTACCATATATTCAATATCACACATCAACAGGGGTCTGACCGGTAACTACTTACAACAGAATACCCACGAACTATCAGTGTCAGTGAGTGTCTTTCTTGCAGTGAGTCACAGGACCCACCAGGAGTAAGGGTGCTGGAAGAAAAACTATGTTTAAGCAATGGCTGACTGTGTTGTTTCAGACCAAACCTCCTGCTGAGGACAAGCAGAAAGCACAGCAGAAAATCTGAAATACACCTGTATGAAAGTACGACAATGTGAAGAGCTTCCAAGGCAGTGAGACGTTGCAGAGACAAGACTAAGAAAGGTGCCAAGAGTCGCTCGCTGTGACTGCCAATTCCAAAAGTAAAGCTGCTGCTGAGAGGCCGAGAAAAGCTTCTGATACAGTCTCTTAAGCCAGAAAAGCAAACTCAGGGCTTTCCAATGTAGCGGGGCCCTAACAAACACCGCAGGCTTCTGGCTGGTATCCCAAAGGCTACATACAGGGCAAATCAGGAAAAAAAAACCCATCCCCCCAAACCCAGCCCTCATAGGAACTGAAGATCAACTCAGAATGAGGCCTTCCAAGGGGCTAAAGTGAAACCTCTCTGGAGGAAGACACCATCCTACAGAGCTTCAAGTCATGGCTACACCCTCCTACCCCATGTCTGATAGAGAAACAAAACAAAAATCAAGTAAACAAGAAGATAATGTTTAACTAAATAGGAAAAAAGCAGAAATCAGAAACAAACCACAGGATTCAAATACTGGCATTACAGAACAAGACTTTAAGGAACAGTTACAAGAATTTAAATGATGATATAAAGAATCCTGGTAGACAAATAGTCACCGTAAGAAAACAATACAATAACTGAAATCAATCCGATGGTGGATCCTCCTCCTCCACAGTGATGTCAGCGTCAGGGCCGAGCAAGAACATCTCTTGGTTTCTCTTCTTGAAGTTACAAGTCAAACAACTATATATAACTCAACAAAGGATTATTCCCTGCTCAATACACAACATGTCTCAGAGAGATCCATGCATCGAGACAAATGAAGACAGTTGTATTAGAATGAGGAGGGAAGGCAGGACGGGGGCAAGGGCAGAGGCAGAAGCCATATATGCAGTCCAAAGCTCATCATGGCCCCAGCTGACCTGGTGTTGGGGAAAGAATCATGTAGTGGCCCTCACAGGGCAGCACAGCGGGCTATAGTGGCAGAAGTAATACTCTGACCTGAGTGGCTGGTGCCCACTGCTGCTAAACCCAGTGACACAGACGAAGATGGGGCACCGTGGTATGGCAGCTGGACACCTCAAACAGTACAGAGCAGCTGACAGCCTCCGGTTACAAGGAAGCAGTGCCAAGAACTCACAGGCCCAGAGCCCCATCGTTTGCCACATCCCACCATGGGGGTGGTATCCTGAAACTGAGGCAACATGGTCACCAACAGCATATACACCTCCTCAGGGAATACAGGGTATTTTTGTATGTTTCAAACTTTTTGTACACAAATCTAATGGTAACCACGAAACAAAAATCTACAGATAAGACATGTAACAATAATAACAAAAGAAGAAACAGAAAAAACTCATTGAAAACCACCAAACTAAAACAGACATACATAAGGGAAGAGAAGCAATGCAGATACACAGAACAACCAGAAAACAAAAGATACAATGACATAGGGGCATCACCCTAAATGTAAATGGACTGAACTCACCAACCAAAGCACACAGTAGCAGAATGTAGTACAAAACAAAACCCAATATATGTCGATACATGCTGCCTCCAGGAGATCCATCTCAGCTACAAAGGCAAATACGGGCTCAAAATGAAGATGTGGATGATGATACTCCAAGTAAATGACATTCAGAGAAAAGCAGGTGTGGCCACATTTAAAACAGACTTCAAGATAGAAGAAGGTAGCAAAAGACAAAGATAAATGTTTTATAATGAAAAATGCAACAATTCATCAAGAAGATATAACAACAAGAAGATATTGAAGATTATCAATATGTATGTACCGAACCTGGGAGCACCAAAATAGGTAAAGCATTACTAGGGAACCTAAAGGGAAAAACAAAAAAAATACAATTATAGTAGGGAACCTTAAATACCCCACTGACAGCAATAGACAGATCATCCAAACAAAAAGTCAGTAAGGAAGTACTGGCCTTCGGTAGCTCATTAGACCAAATGGACATAATATTTACAGAGCTTTCCATCCCAAAATAACTAAATATTTATTCTTCTCAACTACACACACACATTCTCAAGGACAGAATATACATTGGGGCACAAAGGTAGTCTCAATAAATTTAAGAAGACTGAAATCGTGAGCAAAGTAAAACGAGAGACATGGAAATAAAAAACACACTGACAGTGACCAGAGAGGAGGGGAATAATGGGGGAAAGACGGGGAAGGGTCAAGGAACATGTATGAAAGACATATGGACAAAGACAAAGGCAGGGGTGGGGGGAGAATTAAATGTGGGAGGGGGGATGGG